AAGAGCGTTTCCCAAATCCCCATATTGGCTCTTTGTAGCCCGGAAGAGCAAAGGGATCGTTCATTACGAAGCTGGTAGGCATCTGAGGAGGACGCTGACCCCTACAAGGAAACACTAGTACTCATTTACAAACAGAACTCAGCATTTTTATTCATTGATCGACTTCCTGCCAGTTTTGATATTTGCTACCACCAGAGAAGAGCGTAAAAACACAGTACAACATTGTTAACCAGTTAGGAAGGCTGGAAGGGAAAGCAAATCCCAGTACAATTGCAAGTAACTTGGTGGAGTTCATAATTAAGATCTTTTTGAACGGATCAGCAATGAAGCAATAAATATGCTGCTGCACTGAACCAACAACAGGACTTTCACTAAGTTTGTGGTTTTATTGCATTACAGTTTAAAACTAAACGTTATCCATCATCATACATTTGTTCACCAACCAGGTAAATGACACTTTTTCATATGTTATATGCTAAATGGCTAAAATTATGCAGTAGCTGAACTAGACTAGGACTAGTAGAGGTAGATATTGAATGGGCAGTGCCAGGCAGAAATATTTTGTAAAAGTACTTTTTGTCTTTTGTCACGAACAGTTAGCAGATGTAACATTTTCAATTAAAACAACATCTTAGGAAAGCTATTCCAAGATGCTTTGGATTTTCTAGTAATATTTCTCTCGCAATATTCTTACAAACCCTTTGATATGGTCCCTTGTAAACTGGACAATCTTTGTCCTCCGAGTTTTCTGCCATGATTTACTTGAAGACCAACATACAAAGCTAGAATCTTTGTGAACGTACTACTATTTGCTTGTACCACTCAAAGTAATACACATTGACAGCTTCCCTGGCATGGGAAGACTGCATTGATAGTATTTACAGCTTCAGTAATCCTTTAGCAATTAAAAAAAGCTATTTTATACTTAATCTAAAATGGAATTTCTATTATGCCACCTCCTTATAACTCACTTCAGTCTCCTTTTGCCGAGCTGCTCTATCAGTTGCTCCTTGCCATTCCCACTGCGGGCTGTATGCTCTTGGGAAGAGTCTCTGCCTGAAACAGGCATTAAAACTGGTGTTTGTAGACCGCAGCTTTAATTTCTAGGAAATATAATCATGACAACATGACCATGAGATTTGTACGAGTGTACGCCCTTTGCTCCTCGCCACACCCCAAGAGCAGTTCACAACCGGAACGCTCCTGGAAGCAAGAGTCTTTCCCCAAGCTCAGCAACCATTTTCCTCCACCTGGAACTTTAACTTTCATTAACGAGCTTATAGACTGCTCAATTCCTTACCGATATGACTGCCTCATTATACTACGTCTGCATCATTTTCCTCCACAGAATCCCAAAGCAGTATGTTATCAGACAAGCATGACTTTTACTTCCACATAGTTTGAGCTATTTTACATTACCACTTCGGTACAAACTGCATTTTTAGAGCAAACTTTCTTAGGGGGAAAGACAGGGGAAAGATTTCAAAGACAGCTAGCTACCCAGTACAAAACACTTGCAAAAACATTTAAAGCGATTGTGAAAAGGGAAAAATAAAATCATTTTAATTCAGGTACATTGAACTGGATTATCGTATCAAGTGGTTTCGTTCGCATTAGCGGCACACGTTCAAAGCACAACTGTGGCGTAGGGGATGCTAGCACTGCAGGAACGGTGGCACCACTGCTCGAACCCTCAAAGGCATCATGTTAGACAAAGATCGTAAGCTTTCTTATTGGAACTTGCTCACGTGATACTGAAATTGTATTTGCACCTCCGGTTTCTCAGGCCTGATTTCACCCTACTCTCATCGGTGTTTCCTTTCTATGAAGACACTGACAATTCAATCTGGCTGAAGAGTAAGGTGCTACACCAAGACCTTCCAGGGTCTACTGTACAGCTGGAGCACCTCCAGACCTGGAAAAACAAACTGAAGCAAATGCTAAAGAAAGATTTAATAGGCTAATTACACGTACCTCATCTAGCCCTAGAGAGCTCCCTGGGAAACTTGGAATTTTCTCCCTACGCTAGGAGAAAAAATGAACGACAAACCTCCTTCTGTATTCAGAACATGAGTCCTCCCCTGTGAACATGGAAGTATTAAGACCTCTACTGAAAAAAGTCGTAACTGTAGGAGAATATAGAGGCTTTTAAGGCATTTAAGATGCAAAGAAATAAGTTACTGAATAGATCATTTTGAGACTATTTTACCTGTCAGTTCACACATACCACTTCTGAGTGCTCTGGTCTCCAAATGGAAGGAGTGAGTACCTCACCTATCATCTTGGGGCAAACAACCACTTTCAGTTACTTACAATTTAAGTCCACTTCTGACTCTGGCATTGCTTCATGCAATGTGCGTTTGCACCATCTACGGTCTCTATCTAGGGAAATTTTGGAAAGATATCCATGGCATATGTATGTCATCACCAGTGGCTCCACTGATGGTGAAAACATCTTTCTCCAGTGAAAATCACGAAGAATCGAACCAAATCACGTCATTAGTAAGCCAACGTTCTAGGTCACTCTGCCCATGACCGCAATCCCTGCTCACCTGCTTTGGCAGCCAAGCACCAACGATTGCCATTTTGGATCTTGGCATGCAAAGGAAAGTTTTCACTGTAGCATGGCACTCTGTGCTACTACTTCGCAAGACTCATGGCATCGGATTGTAACTTCATTTCCAGCTCTTAAAAACTCTTCCTCAGAAGTTAGCATTGCATCTAACAGGAGAGATGCAAAGGTGAAGGATTAGCAATTCCTTTGCCAATTAAAGAACCTTCTTCTTCTTCAGGTAAACTCTTGACTTAGTTTCATGTCCTGGGACTGCAGTCTTCTGGAAGGGGACGAGGAACCTCTTTAATCCAAAAGCATCATCTCTGAAGCGCTATGGATGCCTTTCGGCAAGGTTATGAAGAAGTGTCTTTGGGGAAATCACAATAGATGTGTAGATGGAGGCTTCTGGAAGGCCCACAGAAATTTCCTTTCCCACTTGCATAATGAAAGAGAACAAGTAACTTCTTGCTTTTAGTTCATCTATTTCAACACAAAAACAGGCAGTGAAAAAGTAAAGGAAATAATCCCATTTATAGGCAGCACCCAAAAAACAGAATTTGAAGAAAAAAAAATAAATTGCTTGATGCAATTCACAATCTTAAAAAGAGTGAGCACTCATCTGCCTCCAGCTAAGCATCAGAAGCCAAGAAAACGGCAGCAATACTCAGAGGCAAGGCCAAAAGCTCATAGCTTGTGTAGGCAAGATCGAACCATCTTCAGTAGTTGCAGAAGACATGCAGTCCAAGTATCTCAGGCTGCAGAAAAGACTGAGATCTAGACATAAACACCAGAGTCAATTAAAGGCTCTATAGGTATTCTAGTCCCTAAAAGCCCAGCAGATTAAATATACAAATATAGCAATACAACTTACATTTCCGACATGAACTACACTGCAAACATACACAAGGATAGTCTAACCATGAAAAGAAAGTGGTGCTGAATATACAAGAAACAAAACACTGTTCTTCTGACCGTTAGAAAACTACAAACCCATTAAGTCTTCCTGGATTTCTTAACTGTACGCGTCAATCACTGAATTCCATAATGTGGAAGAGGAAGGCTGTGTATCCACACAACAGATACTCTGTAACTGAACTCCTGCAGCAAAGAAGGCACTCACTTTATAAGCTGTAGTTTATTTTCTGCTTTGTTTTGTATGAAGAGCCTATAAAAAAACCATTTGAGCACTTATCTATATTAACACAGTAGACTTGTAGACTAAAGCTCGACTTGGAAAATAAAATTCGACGTAACATTGGTGGAACTTAAAAGCCAAGTAGTAAAGCATTCTGTGTTATAGGACTTCCCAGACATTCAGTATTTACATATAATGCATTTGCACTTTATACTCAACAACCACCCATCAGCAGTGACATTATTAGCGTAACTGGACAGCACAGTAAGCCAACCCTGAGCTGCACTCTAGTGAACCCATTCATTTTCAAAGTACAACAGAGATTGGTTTAAATATTCACACAATTGTTTTTCAAAACGTTTTATTGCATTATATTTGGTACCTCATGTTTGACAAAGGAAATTACATCTGTAACTGCAGGAATAAGAAGCTGGTCTGTTATTGAAAAAAAATCTTGGGCCCCTTAAAAGTTACAAAGTCTTGGGCTTGCCTGAAACAACTGAGCAAGAAATATATTCTTAGAAATGTAGGGCTTCAAGTATTACAAACCTGTGACACTGTGGAAAAGTTCCAGAGGTATCTAAACTGCAGCACTTTTTTTTTTTTTCTGCATAACGTGAACAAGGCCTGCTGAGGTTTTAAACTATTAGTCTCTTGATCAGTCAAAATGGTAGTCAGGAGTTCTCCTCTTTGCAACTTCAAGCCATAGTATGTTCTCATTTTGTTTTCACTCTACGTGAAAATGCATGCTATCTTTCTAATTAGTTGGTGCCACATCACAGTGCATAATTTTATTTGGTTCTTGCATTACAGTTTTAAAAAGTTTGGCCAACCTATGCTGATAGGTTCATCTCAAGAACGGCAAAGTTGTTTCTCCCCACCCCACCCCCCAAGTTTAATTCAAAGAGAGAGAGAGTTTTAACTGGTTCCTTCAGTTTAAAAACTGTGGTGCAAGAACACCAAACTGATCGTGTACAGTGAATTTCAGAGACACAACAAGCGTATTGAACACACTATGTTTCTTAATTCTGCTCGATATCCGTATGTCCCAGCATCCACAACATAACACGTATGTTGCAGGTTTCTCTGTATATTCTGATTCACATTGCATTCCTATGGACAGAATCATCCCCGTATCAAAATCAGTCAGATGCTAAAGCCCCAACAACTCTTTGTGCTCAGTGAAAGAATCCAGTGCTAAAACAGCATTTTTGCTGTCTGAGATAACAGTAATCTCACAAGACAAATTTAAAGTAATATTTCTGCCACACACCTGCTCTGAGGGCTATACGCCTCCAGATTTCATATAAATTAGTTTAAAAACATGGGTAGGTAAGGAGAGGGGGTTTTTTTTTCTTCAATTTTAGCAGCTTTTAATTTTTAAGAAACCGAACAACCTATATCCAGTAATATGTTAGATATTTTATATATATACTTTGTCAGCAGGATAAAAAAAAAGTAAAACTATTTGAAGGCAACATTTTTTTTTCCTTCTGTTCTCTGTGTAAGTTAGAACAATTCAGCAGGTGCGTGACAAAAATATTATACACCAGATATGGTCCAATGTCATTTTTTTCCAATAAAGTTGTTCATATTTCATTGGCCAGTTCTTCAGGTTCTGCAGAACTATCTCCATTAACTGTGATCTTCATATCCTCTTCATATCCAGGGGGCATGAAAGCCAAAGCATAAGGGAAAAGCTTATGACAATTTGCTCTGTAAGTTTCAGATGCTTCTTTACAGTCTCCAAGGCTACCGTCACATAAAGCTTCTAATACCTCCATACAAGTCTAATTAAAGAGAAAAATAAAGAAGTGTTACGGTTTCTTCAACATTCATCTGAACACTCACAAACCAGAAATACAATACCACAAAGAAAACAAACTCCCAAGTATTGTTTTCAGGTTTCTATCTACTGAATGGACATTTTTTTAACTAGACACAGCATGAAATACCAGTGTAGTCTGATTCGAAATAATGCAGTTTAAAAAGGGATTTTAAAACCAGCTAGAAATCTCGACCGAAAATGAAAATACTCATTTGTCACCTGTTCCTTGTTTTCCTAAAAAACCCTGATTCTTACTAGTTGGCAACCAAGAACCAGGCTTACTTGCAACTGTGTTTCTTCGGTTTGTGGTTCCCGCCCCCCCAATCTTGGGATACACTGAACATTTCAGCAATACACAATATGCATTTGAATTTTAGCGTTCGCAAATAAAAACAAGAAATCCAGAATATATACTATAATTTCCTAATAATGACTTTTGTGAACATGCTTTCAGATAGAATTGGAAGAATTGTGGAATATAATTAAAATGTAAAAATAGCATCAGCTGAATATCCATAATTAGACATGAAAACATTTCTGGTAGGGGGAAAAAAAAAAACGAACCAAACATTTTTACATTTAAGGATATGTGACTTACTGAAGTGTGCCTGTAACTAGTGAACGGAACCAAATTACTCAGATATTATCCCATCCTTCAGATATATCTGCAGTTTCATATCCGTTTGCGTTCATGGTTTAGAAGAGCAAAAGATTTCCTGGTTTTTTTCAACTTGCATTCCAAACATGAGAAACAGACCTACTGAGCTTCACTAAAGCCCACCAGCATTTAACATCCGTCCATGTCGTGTATGCTAGTCTTTTTCCACTCCTCTGACATTTACTAGAGCTGTTATTTGTTCTGTGTATTGAGATTAACTGCTCTGTCCTCCTGCTATGGGGTTATGAAGTTCTCTTCAACAACCCCTGTTCCTCACATTTGCTCTTTGCGACACTGGCATCCACAGAAGGTCAAATATATCTAGATTTATGCCTGCAACGTGCCCCGAGACATCTGGTCTTTACTAAAATGAAATGTAATAAATTTGATCTCTTTGCACACGAGAATGCCTTTTAACGAATGCCTGCGCTCCTTCAGATCCTCTTTTTTTCAATTTCCCATCTAAAAGTTCAGTAGAACTCCAACTCTTACTTTATGTTGGCACCAAGAATGCTTAAATTGAGCTTTTTCAGTTTTAGCACAATGCTGCGTATATCATCTTTATACACTGCTGAGTCAGTAAATGCTTTTTGTAGTCCTACCAAGATAACACCTCTAAAACAACAAAGCATTTTTTGTTACATTTGAATCTTGCCCTAGTCCAATTCCCAGAATCCCACTCTCAGGCAAAAAACCACAGCTACGAGGCAAAAAGAATGCTGTTGAAAGCAATTTAATTTTTGTTTTCTAAATCTACTGCTAATCTATTTTAAACTCTTTGAGATTGCTCAAACATAACACACACAAAAAAACCGCAAACAAGAAAACGGTTTATGAAAACTGCTAAATATGTACTTAGGATATAAGAGACATGAGTTTGTGTCCCATAACCAGATCAGCTAGAGAAAGGATCTGAATCTTTAACATCCTACGCAAGTTTATAAATCATGGCAAATTCTTGTCTCTTTTTCCCCTCTCTGTTTTGTCCAAAAGTTCTATTGTGAACTTAAAATCCTTCCCATTTAAAGTTCCGTTGAACCCAGTATATTTCCAAAGGGATGTTTTTTGGAAAATGCTGATTTTTGCCCACAAAAGGATAATTTTACTTGCAATAGATCTAAAAAATTCTCGAGTCCCCAGATAGATAAAGAGAGCAATAAAGAAATAAAGTGCCAGGGGAACTGAGAGAAACAAAATGTCCTAAAGTTTGCACAGCTTGCCAAGGAATCTCTCTAATACTTCATTAAATGTGCTGGACACTCTCACAGTGATGCCAAAGGAAACGGTTTGACTGGGATACAGAAACAGTTTAGAAAAGACTAGAAAAAAGAAAGGACATTTTATTCCTTCTCCGTTTTGTCAGGTAAGGCTGTGTGCGGTCATCGGAAGAAAAAAACATGTTTATTAATTCTTTATAAGTAACATTTGAAGATACTAAAAAACCATTACCTTCTCTTGAATACTTTGAATTGCAAATCAGAACTGATAGCCTTCCCAGGTGAAGGTGGGGGAGCAAGGAAAGGGGAATGGTGGCGGTGGCACAGGGAGATTATTCCATGACCACCAGAATGGAGCACAATTTCAAAATCTGGTAAGCTTTTTACTTAACTACATACTAAGGCCAAAATACGCATATGCACCTTTTATTAAAACCAAGATAATTCACGCAGCTTGCAGGGGGAGGAATATGGAAAACTTTCATGGAGTCTGAGCCACTAAGGCCATCTTTTTCTTGTGAACAGTCGCCTGTGTAACAGGTAAAGCTCAGACAGACCACAGTCTTGTCTTATTGGGGAGCTTTAGCATCTTTTGCCATGTGAATTCTCTTGTGTTTAATAAGCTTTCCCATTACCTGGAGCAATAGCAGTTTCTGCTGCTAGCTAGCTATTTTCGTATTATCACAAAACGAAATTAATCTAAATGTGCAAAAAGGACATTAAACATTTCAGTCCAGATGAACCTGATACCCCTTTCTCTCACGTGACAACACAACCCCCTTACCATAAGGCACAGCAATTGCTTCAGCTTCCTCTTACCTCCATAATTTGCATAAAGCTTCCATAGATATACCAGAAGTTGTTTACGATTTATAAATATCTGTTACCTGAAGATTTCTGTTAATGAGGGATTCATCCAGGGTCATTGCCAGCTCCACTGCCCTTTTCTGACTGGAAGGATCTAAATAGTACATCATTTTGGCAGCTACAGGAGGAAAAATAAGCTTCATCACTCAGTGGATGACCAAAGACTTCTTACATACAAACATAAGCTAGACAAAGCATTAGAACAAACAGGCACTGTCTATACTGCAGGGTAGGAGCATTTTGCAGTGTGCCGTGGAATCCCAGGCAGTGAAGGTGCAACACACCACAGTTCCCTCCAGCACCGCTGCTCACATCTCCTTCACACAGAAACTGTGGCACAACACAGAGCTCTTGTTATAATATGGTGTCAGGACACAACCAGGACAGTTCCGAGTCCCACGGCACAGATGTAGTTGAAGGGACTTGATGCCAGAAAAGATGCGAGAGCAAGCTCACTGCTTTTTGTGGCCAGGTCTGAGCCCAGGCTGAGCCACAACAGTAATGCCGCTCCCCTGGGCGGTTTACACACCGCTTCCCGTGTGCTACCCTCTGCAACACGGTCACTACAGACAGCCAGCCTTTCCTAACAGGTAACCAGCACCATCTAAGCACCTCTTGTTAGGCATACCAATAGCTCTGGGCGTTACCTGGCTTGCTCAGCGCATTTCTCTTGGCAGTCAGCCTCTTCAAGCGCATGTATCAAAGAAAACTTCGCAACTTGTGAATACTACTTCACGTACCATAGCTCATACGAACTACTGCATAGATGCATTACAGTTACAGTCTTATGATACATTCAGCATGCATCAGAAACGAAAACGGGGCAGAGAAGGCCAAAAATTTGTATTTTAGCAGCATAAAGAAAAAATTAAAGAAAAATACAGACAACCTGGTGGTCGTGTTGTCACAAAAACACAAACCGAGTGGAAAAAAAAGCATTCCTGATGGAAAGAG